TAGGTTAACTAAACTAGCATTTTTTATTACGAAAACTAGAAAAATTTCAATGAGAAAATTTATATAATAGAAATTAATGGAATAAGCTTATATAAAAATAGCAAAAAATCAATAGGAAGAATGGTTTCTAAAATTCTGCAACAAAGTCAATAATTATAATAAAAAAAAAGCTCGTATGCCTCTTTAAAAAAATAGCATTCTTCTATAGTCGAAGTTTATCAAAATATAAAAAAAAGGCAAAACGATAATATTCGTCCAATGCGAAAATCTGTCATAATTCAACAGGAATAAACTATTTAAAATGACCAAAATGATACTACAAGAAATATGATTGAAGAAAAAACAGCTTTTTCAAATTAAAATCTAGATATCACACCTCGGTAATTTTAAGAAAGTGAATTAGGCACTATTGGATCTCCTTTACATAAATAACATAACGAAAACCAATCTTTAATAAATTTATTAAAAATTAATTAATAAGTAATCTAAAGTTGTGAAAGCGTTAGTTTGTAAGAATAAATTAATAACGAAAACTTAAAAAAGTCAAATTTTTAAAATTACGAATAAAACATAAAATACGATGATGAAGACAAAAACAAAAACAAAAACGAAGACGAAGATGAAGATGAGGAAGAAGATAGTGACGAAGAAGATAGTGATTAAGAAAAAATCTGTTTAGATAACGAAAAATAGAATTTAGAACGGTCTTTTATTTCTATATAAGATCTAAATCGTTCTATTAGCAGTTTTGACTCAAATCTTTAATATAATCTTTAAGAAAAAGAATTAATGGATAAATCAAATTAAAGAACTTTCGGAAAAGTTAATTAGTAAAAAATTTATATGTAAAAAACTGTGATTACTAATAGCTTAAAAATCATAAATAAACTTGCAAATGATAGTTCTTATCCCTATTGTGTTAAGTTAGTTAAAATGGAACTTTTTAGTTAAATTTCGATTTTTTTGATTTTTGTAATTGCAGCGGTTACTTATACTTAGATTAATATTTTTTTTTTAAGGAAAATTTAAAAAATACATTTTTTTCTACAAAAATTTTAATTCCTGTGTGCTAATAAGTTATTTTTATGAATTTGTAAATGTAAATGAAATATTTAGAAAAGAAACCTGTTTAGGAATATTTTTAGTACGCTTAAACTAGTAGTATTTAGGCTTTTTGGAAAGCTTATGAAAGCTTTAATGCTTTTTTAAATGAAGTGTAAAAATATGAATATTAGAAATCTTTTAAGGAATATATGGTCGAAACTTAAGTTATTAAGAAAAATTCGGAGGGTATTTTTTATATTTTGAAGGTTAATTTGGTCGAATATATTAAGAATTTGCTTCATGTTTTTAATATGTATAATATGTAAAAATAATTGAGTGTAGATTAATATTAATAGAAAATTATTTATAATGTGTAAGATTTGAGTTTAGGACTTATTTAGTTAAATGAAAATTTAAAAAAGAATCTTGATAATGAAATCGATAAAATTAATATTTTTAATATTATTATTTATTTTATATTTTAGGCGCTTATTATTATTTCTATTATTATGATTATTAATGGGATTATTGACATTAAATAGAAAAAAGAAAAACTTTTGAAATTGATTTCACATATAACGGAAAAGGAAGCTATTAAGGAAATTTAAATTTCTAGAATCACCCAATAATAAATAAAAAGTCAAAATTAATAATATTTGTTGAGTAATTATTGGTAAATTAGTAATTCTTTAGAAGATGATGAATAATAAAATTAGTAAAATAATAATAAAAATAATCAAAAACATATCACTAAGAAAAAAAATATCTATTTAAGTGATAGAACTAATGATTAAACTATCAATATTGCACCGAAAATTCTTGCTGTTATTTTTATTTGGGTTATGTGTTCAATATTGGGAATTATAGTAATTTTTTATAATGTTTATTGATTTTTAAATATATATATATTTTTTTTATAGGGATAAATAATAATGTTTTTTTAAAAATCTTTAACTATATATAGCTCAGATTAAAACTTTTAATTTATGAAATCTGCAAATAATTATGCTGTTGCAGTAGTTTCATCTGATATATTTACAAACTAATATGTTTTTAAAAATTATAATATATAATTATTTACATAAGCAGAATATGGTGTTTGGTTAAAAGAATATTAAACACATTTAAGTTAGTCTTATGATTATTTTTCTTAGGATTTTTAATAAGCTATTCTTAATTCTTCTATATAGTCTGATTTATAGAAATAGCTTGATTAACTAATAAATTAATCCGGAAATTGCTAAAGATCTGAAATTTTTAACACTTATGAAATGAATGTTTGCTATAATGCTTTGGAAGGAATAATTAATAGAGGATTTTAAAGTTCGATATCATCTTTAATTTAAATGTTCAGAAATAAAGATTATGTTAATCCTACTAATTTTATTACTTAATAGGTTAACTAGGGAGTTTATTAATAGGAAACTGAAGTAAATTTTTTGCATTTTATTTTAATAGAAAAAATAACGGAAATTTTATATGAAAATATAAATAGTTTAATTGATGAATAAAGTTATTAAATAATTCTTTTATATTCAATAGGAGGTACCGTTTATTTGGTTTCTTTTATTTTAGTTTATATGTATTTAACAAAGAGTTTTTTTTAAATATTTATTTATGTGAGGAGAGGCTTCTTGATTATTCCAATGGAAAGGTCTTCGTCAGATCCAAATATTTTAAATATGATTAAAATTTCTTTAGAAATTAAAATATGAAAATAATTTCTTTTGTTTTTTAATTAAAAAATAGAAAATTAATTAATTTAAGTTTGGATATATTTTTTATTTTAAAAATAAATATATATATGTATTTATATATATGTATATTTATATATATATTATTACTTTTTAATTTTAAATTATGATAGAAAATATATTAATTTATATTTTATATTTTTGTAATTGAAAAATTTTTAATTAAAATTTTATATCAAATAATATGAAAATGTCTATAACATATATATTTAAATTAATTTATTATATTATTAAAAAAAAAAAATTATTTTAAAATATTAAGTAATGTATTATTTTTTTAATTCTGTTTTCGTTCATTTTAACATATCAAAGAAATTCTTAATGATAAATTTAAGACAAAATAAAATATATTTATTTACTTTTAGTTATTAAACATTTTTTTATTTAAATGAAGACAATTAATAAGATTTAAATTTTTTAAGAAAAATTTAAAAATAAAGGAATTTTTTAATCGTTCTATAAGGTGAATAAAAATCTTAAATAGCATATCGGATTACTATATATACCTTCTTTTTAATAGGTTTAGGAAATAAATATACACTAAGATTTTTGTGTGTAAAATATGATTATAGTCTATATTATATTATATGATGATTTTGATAAAAAGTTTATTGAAAAGTTAATGATTTTTTTTTAAAAAAAAATTAGTTTTAAATTTTTATTTTTTACAAAATAATTATAAAAATAATTAAAAATAAATTTAATATTTTTTTTTAATGTATTTTTTTCATTTATCATTTTTTAAGCTTTCTATTTTATTAAATTAAAATTTATATAATAAAATTATATTTTTAATTACGGCTTTATTCATTTTATGATTAACTAGTTTAACTATCACTATTTTCAGTTTTTTAGACTACACTTTTATCATTTCCTCCTTATAAGCTTTGAGATATATTTGAAGATATTTATTAATATAATTCTGGATGTTTTAGTTTTATATGTTAAGCTAATGAACCTTCAGATCCATATTTTTTAGCACAGCTTTCAGAAAAACATTTATAATGTCTTTCTATTTCATGCGCGGCTCTTCTATGTCTAATTCTTCTTTCTTCATCTAGATTTAATTATTCGTCCTATTATTTTTCTATAATAAAAATAAAAACTATAAATATATATATATAAATAAATTAATATTATATATATATATATATATTTATTTAATTTAAAACATATAATATTTAAAACAAAAGTAATTAAATTAATATTTTTAAAATTTCTTTATATATATTTTATTAATCAATTTTTTTTTTAATAATTTAATATAATTTTTATACTTCTAATTTTTAATACTTTATCAATAAATCATTTTTTTCTTATAGCAATTCTTTAACCTTTTTATAAAATAAATATTTTATTTATTATAAAATAAATACTTAGTTTGTTAAAACTACATTTGCAATGTAAAGTCTACAAGCTTCTTATTAATAATATTATAAATTATATTCGTCACTATTACCTAAATATAAATATATATATATATTTTTATAAATCGATATTTTTATATTATATACCCTAATTCGGATTTTAATTTTACTCACTTCCTTATAAATTCTATTGTTTTATTAATATATATATAATTTATTATATAATAATAATCATATTTTTAATACTTGTTATTATTATTATTATTATAATAATAATAAATTTATTTATTAAGATTATTGATAATTAACCTCGTTTTTTTAAGTACAATTCAAAGATTTCTAATTGTTCAACATTTTACTATATTATTTTTTTATTTATAGTTAATAAATAAAATCTAATATTTTTCATTATTAATTACCTTTTTTAATGCTTTTTTTTTTTTGTTATATATTTTATTTTTTTAATATAATTTATAATTTAATTTTATGAGAATTAATTAATAAAAATTAATAATTATTATTAAAACGAAAATCTTATTTTAAAGTAATTTCAATATAATTTTAAATATTATTTAAATATAAAATATATTATATATTAAATGAATTAATATTATATAAAAATATTGATAAAATAAATAATTTATATTTTTAAACATTCCTTAAAAAAATAAAATATAAAAATCATAAAAAAATATATAAATATATATATTAGTTAACATAATTTCAATTAAAAAAAGTTTAAAAATATTCAAAATTTATCATAAAATAATCAATAAAAACAATGGGAAATGCCTGTTCATGTGATGATTAAAATGTAATTGATAAAAACTATTAAATGACTAGCAAAAAATAAAATTCATTAATTTAATACGAATTAATTTCTGCAGAAAAGGAAAATTACAATCGAAATTATTTTTAGCAAAATTCAAATAAATCAAGCTTTAAAAAAAATCAATTAAATCAAAATAAACCTTTTAACGAGTTCAATAAGCAAAAATTAATTTAATAGGAAATTTGGCTTCCAGATTATTCTAATAATTTTACAAGAACAGTTTTAGAAAAGCTCGGTGATTTTATTTATGATGAAAATGATGATTTTAATTAAGATTTATAATATTTATCGCCAATTCAAATAGAATAAAATGTGTAATTTTTTATCTTTATTTTTAAATAAAAAAATATAAAAATAAAGATATTATATAGGTTAATGGAAAAATAACTAAAGATGTGGCAGAGGAAAATAAATATGGCCAGATGGATCTATATATGAAGGTTACTGGTAAAACGATATGGCAAATGGAAGAGGAAGACTAATACATGGAGATGGCGATGTATATGAAGGTTAATGGATAGACGATAAAGCACATGGAGATGGTATTTATATACATAGGGATGGTGCAAGTTATACAGGGTAGTGGTATAAGGATAAATAACATGGGTTGGGTATTGAAAGGTGGATAGATGGTTCTAGTTATTAAGGAATGTATTATATGGGGGCAAAACATGGAGAAGGAATTTTCTCATGGGCTGATGGGAGTTAATATCATGGAAATTTTTAGAATAATGATATTGAAGGGATAGGATAATATAGGTGGAGTGATAACAGAATTTATATGGGAGATTGGAAATGCAATAAAATGCATGGGGAAGGATAGTTTTTTTGGCCTGATGGAAGAAAATATGTAGGGGAATATTTTGAGGATAAGTATTTATTAATATGTGTTTTTTTTTATTTTTTTTAGAAAATAAGGTTATGGAGAGTTTTATTGGCCTGATGGGAAAGTCTATAAAGGTTATTGGTTTAATGGAAAGTAACATGGGAAAGGTAAATATAAAAATACAAATGATATTGAAAAAGAAGGAGTATGGTATGAAGGATAGAAAATTAGTTGATTTTAAATTATTATAATTTTATATTTTTTTATATATGTAAATATTCAATTATAATATATAAACAAAATTTATAAATATTATTTTTATAATTTATAAATTGCTTTTTTCTTTAAAATTATTTTAAAATAATTAAAAAAATATGATTTTAGATATTACAAAATAAATTAAAAGCGAAGCAAGTGAACATTAAGTTAGCAAATATAAAAATTAAAAGTAAATTACTGAAAAATAAGAACTTTTCAATGTTATATCTAAAGATATAGTAATTTCAATCAAATTAATATTTTTGTTTATATATATTTTTTTCTAATAATATAATATAAAAAGATTATTAGTATTAAAACTATTCAAAATGTTTTAAATGAAAGTAAATAAAGCTATTTTTGTACATCTTCATTTGAGTAAAATTATTTAAAAATAATAATTAAAAATCTTCAATTTTTCGATTTTTATATAAAAGAAAAAATGCATTTACTGAGTAATAAAGAGAAGAATTAGACTTTTAGGTTAGGTAAATTATGTTTATTTTTTATAAAAAAAAATTATATTATAAAAAAAATAAAAGATAATCAATCTAAAAAATAAGTGATAAAATAGATTAATTGAAGAGCAAATTTTATGGAGAAAACTCCACTTATAAAGCGAGAAATAAAACGTAAAAAAAAAAAAAAAAAAAAATTTGAAAAAAATAAAAAGCGAAGCTATGCATATAAAATCATCTATAGATTGTTTATTATAATAATTAAAAGAAGTCGGTAATTATTTTTAGAGTTTTTAATAACATAGATAATAATAATAATTAAGATTATAAAAGTATATATATATATATATATATTTTAAAATATTATAACTTAAAAATAAAAAAGATTATTGAGTTAAAATGAAAGCAATAAAATCGTTTTAAATAAAAAAAAAAGAGAAAAACAAGAAGATTTAGAAGGAAATAGTTAGTCTAATGGTTTAGATTCTAAACATTAAGAACTAGAATAAGAAAATAAAATGTTATAGAAAGAATTTTAATGTGATTAATAAAAAATAGATTCTATAAATACATAAATATAAGAATTCGTTTAATTATTAAATAGCTTTTCAGAAACACTTTAATAATAAGATTAAACTACTTTTTAGAGTTATTTATTTTTATAAATAAATTTTTTATTTTTTTTATTTAGTTTATTAGGATGCTTAGAAATCTACAAATAATATTGATGGAGCCAATAAATAATTAGTAATTGCTAATAAATATAATAAAGATGTAGGATTTACTTGGAGTATGCTTTTCTTTATTTTAGGCAGTTTTTTGTTAATATATGATTTCATTAAAAGTTGATAAAAATTAATTTATTGATGTTGATAAAAGTTAATTAATTGATGTTTAAAAAAATTAAACTTCTATATAATTAAATAAATACATAATGCATTATAAAAAATGAAATTTTTTTATTGCAAATAATTATTATAAACAAATTGTTTTTGTTAAAGATTTATTTTTACTAAACTATTTTTTTTTTTAAGGAAACTTTTAAAAATAAAAACTATAAATTTATTTATTGTATGCTTTAACAAGCAAACAAAATTTACAATTTAAAATAAAATCAATATATAATTAATATAAAAAACACATTTTTTTCCCAAAAATTAAAAATAAAAAATTATTTTTAATTTATAGAAATTTTGTTTTGGTAAATAAATTTTTTTAAAAATCTTTTTTAATAATTAATTCAAATTATATTTATTTTTAATTGATTAATTAAAATATAATAATATTTTGTTTTTTTCTTCAATATTAATTTCCTGTGATCATGTCTATAATTTATTTACAGTTTAATTATCCATAAGTATCTAAAATTCCATTTTATTCAAATCCATGCATTAAAAAATTTCGTAAATTAACAAAATAGGTAATGCTCAATTCTGTTTATTCAATACTTTCATCTTCATCTTTATACAAAATATATTTTTTTTAAAAAAAATCTTTATCAAAGCCAATGACATTATAAGGTTATAAATAATTAACAATTCTTTATTAATATATATCGTAAATTAAATTTTATAAACCATTTTAAAAATCTTATAATTATAATCCCAAATATCTATCATCTACAAAAGAAAAAACTTGAGTTAACATCCCAAGCTTTTTTTCAAATTAAATTTGAATTTATTTTTCTTCATAATTTTCCTTATCATCTAGTAAAATAAACTTAAATTACTATTCACAATTTAGATTTACTAAAATTCCTAAACTATCGCTTTTTTAAAATCCAAGAAAGCAAAGTATTTATCCATATAAAGGACCCTTTTAGAATAATTATAATTTTTAATTAAAATATTAATAATAATAAAAATAAAAATCTTAAGTATTTTTTAGCGAATGATTATATAAAATAATTCTTTTATTTAAAAATATTTATATTTTATCACAAAAATTTTATTCGGCCAAAAAAAAATATTAAATTTAAGCAACAAACTTATACTATTCTTCCTATTTTTATATATCGTATATTTAAACACTGAACTTCTAGCTATTCATATCTATTTTTAAATCTTGAACTTCATAGCAAATAAAAAGTTATTCTTTTATTATCTTAAAATCTATATTATGGCAAATTATTTTATCTTTAAAAAATATTATCTGTATTTCCTTTTCGTCTAATAAATCATAGTTTACTAAAACTTCATTTACTTATTCATAAAAAATTATATTTTTTTCAAAAACTTGAATATTCTTGATTGTTTTATAGTCTAAAATAGCAGTTTTTATTGGAGAATTTTCAATTAAACAATAAACTGTGTATTAATTATTACTGTAAAAAATTGATATTAAATTTTTATCAATAAATACAATTTGCTTTATATAGAACTCCTTTTCTATGGTAATTTATTTTGTAAATTTTATTGATAATTTAATATCTACATTTTATTTTTATTTATCTAATTCTTATTTTGAATCCATTTATTGTAATTTTTTTTATTTTTATTTTTAAATTATTATTAATTAAATATATATATATATATATATATATATATATTATTTATAAACTATTTAAATAAAAATATAAAAGATTTTTATAAAAATAAAATATTATTAATAATATAATTTTACTTCTATTTCTTTATTTATATATATTATTTTTATATTTCACTTTTTTCTTTTAATATTTTATGGTGTTTAACTTTCTTTGAAATTTTACTTAAATTTTTATTATGTGTTTAAATTACTTTAATATCTGCTACTATTTTCTTATGGTTTTATTTTGATAGGAGAAAATTTATTTTAGATTTATGTAAAACCTTTTTAATTATTTATTTATTTAATTTCCTTTTTTCTATTATCTCGTATATTTATTGGACTTACAGATGTATTTGAAGTATTTTATTAACTTAACCTACCATTATTTTTATTTTAGTTAACAATAGGTGTTGATACTTTTTATTAATTATTTTATATTTTATAGTTAATATTTTTATTTTAATAAGTATTTTATGATTTATTATTTTAGTTTTTTTAAGGAGATTGATTTTTTTCAGATTTTTTAAAAATATCTATATATTAGAAGTTAGGAGTTTATTTTTTCTTTGTATTTAATTAATTTGCTTCATTTCTTAGGTTTAGCTCAACGGTTTTTGTATATTTTTAACTGTTCTTACATGTTCCTATATTAGAGGAACTATTAAATTGTTTACATTCTTTTGTATCATTAGTATCTTGTGCTTCTGTAAGACATATTTAAATGTTATTTTGATCTCTTGGAGTTGATTATTATAAATTTATATTGAAGTTATTTGATTATATTCCGTTTTTCTGTTCTATCTTTGAATTATTATTATATTAATTTTATTATTAACAATATTAAAAATGATTTGAATTCTTTTTATCATTTTAAAACTATTCTATATCAATTATTTTATATTAAAATATTTTTTTATTTTAGTTAAGGTATTTTTAATATTAAGTATTTATTTCATATTAACTATTTTCACTTTAATATTGATCATATAAATTATGAATATTATTTTATAATATTTTCTATTAATTTTTTTTTCTTATGAACTTTAAGAATCTTATTAATCATATTTTTATTATTAAAAAGATTTCACTTCTTATCTAAACTTTTATCCTTATTCAAATTATTATGATTATGTAAATTATTATTCTTATTCTTATTCTTTTTAAAGAAAAGAATCTTATGTATATTTTTTTTCTTAGTAAATTTATGTTTAAAAATTATTATTATATGTGATATTAAAATTAGATTCTATTTTAGAATCGTTCTTTTAATTTATACTACTAAATTACTGATTTTATTTTTCATAACTAAATTAACTTTATTATGAAATTTTTCTTGTATATGATTTATTACTTTCTAAAGAATTTTTTCTTGAATGCTTAAATTCAAATGAGTTTTTTCTTGAATCATTTTATATACGAGAATTTCTTCTTGAATTATTTAACTCATGTGATTTTTTATATTATACAAAATCTAAAATTTCTGACTAATTTTTACTTTCTTATTAATTTTTTTTAAATGTTAATTCTTATTTTAAAGATGAATTTTTTTTCAATGAAATATATTTACAATCTGATGAACTTTTACTTTCTTATATTTAAATATTTGATCCTGATAAATAATTTTATGATTAAAAATATTTTTTTTGTTATTAACTTTTATATGATTAAGAATGTACATCAAAGTCTTATTTTTTATATTGATTTTCAAATGTAATTGAATAGTTTTTCTTTTTAAATTTTTGAGTATTTTCATAAAATTAATTTATAAAAAAATCCTATTAAACTAATATTTATTTTTAAAATTAGGATTAAGAAAATTAAATATTTTAATTATCAATAATATTATCTATATTTTAAATTTCGGGTTTAAATAAATAATTTTAATTAAATTATTATTATTTTTATAAAATAGGTGAGCATTAATACTTGTTTTATTTTTAATCAAAATGATAATTATTATTATTATTATAATTATAAAATTAACTATTATAATTCTATTAAACATTCATTTGAATATATTAAAAATTTTATTAAATAAAATTATTTTAAGGCGAATTAGAAATTTAAAATTCATATTATTATTACTATTATTAATTTTGTTAGATTTTTTATTATATTTATGAAGATATAAAATTTTAATTTTATAGTTATTATTATTATTATTATTATTATTATTATTATTATTAATATTTTTTACTGTTTAAATTTTCATTTTTTGTAATTTATTTTTTATAATTTTGTGTTAAATTTATTACCTTTTATTTATTTTACATATTAATTATATGTTTCTATTAATAGTCGTAAATATTTTTCTAAAAAAATTCAGCTATATATTTTTTATATGGAGGATGTCTTTAACCATTATGATCTCCTGTAATAATTTTTACTTGATATTATCCTCTATATAATGATTGTAATATTTCAGAATGTTCATAAGATACTAATTTATCTTCTTTTGAAGCGACAAACAAAGCAGGAATATGAATATTTTAAATAATCTTAGTCAAATTAATCTAATCTAATGTAAAATTCGCTCTACTTTAAATTGATTTATTGATTAAACCTAAAAATGCTTTTAAAATAAAATTAGGTAGCATAAACTTGCTATTGGCTAAATCTAAAGCTAATTTTTCTAATGAAGAAAAAGGACTATCTAAAACAATAGAAGCGAAATTTTAATCTTTACTTGTATATAAAATAGTTGTTACAGCACCCATACTAATATTTTATATATATATATATAAATAAATATATATATATATATATATATATATATATATTTATTCTTATATTCATATATTATTATCATATCATATATTATTCTTTTATTATCTATATAATTTTTTATTTTTTTAAACAATTATATATGTCTTTATTTTTTTATTTTATTATCATAATTCTATTTTATTGTTTAATAATTTAAAAAAAAAATGATAAAAAAAATGTAAAATAATTTATATAATAATATTTATTTAAATTTTTAAAAATATTATAAATTAACATTTACCTTCTACCTAATATAGATATTGATGAAATATTTTCTTTTTTTCTCAAAAACTTTATTATTTCTTACAAATCATGTTATTCATTATATCCTAAGGTTACATATTCACCTTCACTTTGTCCACTTCCCATAAAATCGAAACAAAATAAACCTATTCCTAAAGGAATTAAAAACTCTAAATATTCTAAAGCATCTAGCCTACTTCCGCTATTTCCATGACAATATATTACGCATGGAAATTTATTAGGAATTTCAGGATCTTTTATATTGATTGGCTCAAATAAAGAGCATTTTAAATACATATTTTTTTAATTTTAAACTTAATAATCATGTCTTATTGCTTAGTAATTTTAATAGTTTTGCTTTTAATAACCTAAATCGGAATCTTCATATGTTTAGCGTGCTGGACGTATAAATGCCTTCCATAAATTGTCGTATATCCCTAACATTTTATATAATTTTTTTTTTATTTGCTTTTATTTTTTAAAATACAATAGATTTTTTTTTTATATCTCTTATTTTTTTAATAATAATTGTTTCTATGTTTTTTCTAAAGGATTTTAAAATAATATTATTATTAATAAAAATTTATTAATATTTTAAAAATATTTATAAATTAAATTTGTAATTTTAATATTCAAAAATAAAAATTAAATAAAATAAAAACAATATTTTTTTTTCAATATATAAAAATGATGAATATAATAAATATTTTTAAAAATAGATATTTATTATTTTATACAATATATATAAACTATAAGCTTCCAATAATCATAAAAAAAATATGTGTTATTAAAGTAAGTGAAGAATTATTAAAATAAAATATAAATACATCAGATATTTGTAAAAAATATTATATTTTTTTAAATAATTTCGTATTTTTTATTATTATACATTATTATATTAGATGTTATTATCGTTATAAATTTGAATAAAATAAAAAATTAATATTTAAAAAGTAATAAATTATTAAAAACATTTTTATTTGAAATAAAAAATTTAAATATAATTTTTTTTATTATTTAATTAATAAATGTAAATAATAAAAAAACTAGATTTATTCGCTGACCCATTTTATTTTTATATAGAAGGCAAGGCATAAAAGAAACAAACTTTAATAGGTACTTTATTTTCATTAATATTAATTTCATTTGGATTAACTTATTTTATATTATTAATAATCAACTATTTTGGTAATAATTTCGTTCCTAAAATTTCTTAATAATTTTAACGCTATGATTAATAATAATAACTTTAGCTCAAATCTTCCTAAATAAGCATGGCTTTTATGATATAAGGAATTTCTCATGTATTATATGAATAATAATAATAAAAATAATATTTTTAATTTCAAGTAAGATTAATGAATATTAATGATTAAAGTTCTTTTCAAGATTTTAAATTTGCACATTGTAATGATGAATATTTGAGGGAATTCATTTGTGTGAACTTTTATAAAGATTTTTCTTTAATAAATGATATTTAAAACATTTAAAATAATAAAATTTTATAAATTATTATTGTAAAATGCTTTACTGATAATAAGAATTGTTAAAATATTAGTGAAATTGATAAAGTTCTTTATGATTTTAATAATTATTTATAAATATAAATTTAAACTTAGTATTATGATATTAAATAAAAGAAAATTATTACAAGATTTTAAAAAGAAAAATATTTTTTAGATTTTTAATCTATTAACAAGATTTAGTTCGAATTATTTTAAAATAACATTAAAGTTAATTAGGAATTTTTATTTAGTAGTTAAGAAAATTACAAACTGGTTGATTCATTTTAAGTATTTAATAATAATATTTCAATTCAAAAATTGTGCAAAAACTATCTTTATTTAGTTAAGTAAAATGCTGATTTTAATTATTGTAATGAAAATAATAATGTTTAGGAATTTTATAAATAATTACCAATACTTTAGATTATTTAAGTAGGTTTAAGTGATGAAATTATATAAAGTTAAATTGAGTTTTTTAATATAATTGATGTTTTGACTAAGTTTTATGCCTTTTTTAATACAATATTACTTTTTGGACTTATATTGAGGATTTTTTCAAAAAGAAAGACTATCCAAGGCTTAAGAAATATTTTTTTAGATTAATATTATAAAAAAACAGCTAATAAAATAAATATGATTTAATAAGAATTAAAAAATATCAAAGATGATAAATTAAAATAAGAAAAATAAAATGAATTGTAAAATATTTTTTATATTTTAAATAATATATATTAAATAAAATTAGAAAAATCATTAATGAAAATATTGATAAAGTTATATAAAAATAGTTAAATATTTATTAAATATATAAAGATTTAATAAATTTAAAAAAGTACTTTAAATTAATGATTTCAAAAGAATAATATTCAGCTATATAATAATGTGGCTGTGATATTTTAAACTAAAAAAAAACGCAATTAAGTCAAGAAAATGAAAATGATTAAAATTCCTTATAAAATAAAGATTAAAAACATTTATAAAATAAAGATTAAATATATTTATAAAATTTATAAAGTAAAGATTAAAAATATTTATAAATTAATGAAGAACAAGTTAAAAAATAAATTAATAATTCAAATTAAGAGGAAAATATTATTTTGGCATTTAGTTCTTATAATAATATTAAAAACGTATAGTAATATTAATAAAATAACTAATAGTAATAAAGTTAATTTTAAAGTCAAATTTAAAAAATCGTACCTATTTAATAAAGCCAAAGTTCTAATATACATTAATAGGCTATTCATATAGAATATATATAATAAAAAATATGGGATGAAACTCCTTCTTTATAAGAAAAGTAATATACTCCACAAGCCCCTAAAGAAGAATAGAATAACAATAGGGATAAAATTATATCAATCATTCCTGCTTCTCCTAAGCGACTTTTATAATAAGAGAAATATAATTTTATTAACATTTAAAATCATTTGGAAGAATTAGATTAATTAGATGAAGATGAAAATCAACAAGAGACTAATTTAAAACTATTTTTGAAATAAGTAAAATAAAAAAAAATGCATAAATTAGGATAATTTGATTAAAATATTGTAAATTGCTTAATCAAAAAATAAAAAATAACTAAATAATAATGAAAATATATATTAAAATATATCTCAAATATAATATATATTTTTTTTATATATAATTATGTATTAAAAATAATATATTTAAATTAATATGTAAAAATATTTTTTATATTTAAAATAAAATTTATCAATTTAATTGTTAATTTTTTCTATTTAGAATTACTTATTTTTTATGTTATCTTAAAAAATTAAAAAGTTTGATTTGTTTTCGAAAATATTTTAATTCAATATTGGATAAAATGATTAAAAAACAACTATTTTTGGTGGTCTATTATCCTTAGTAATAATTGTTGTTTCTTTAATATACTTTGTGTATTTATTTTATTAATATTTCACGAATTAATTTTAACCTAAAATATCATCAAATGAAATAGTTGCTAATGGTAATAGTTAATTAGAAATTAAAAGTAATTTTTTAGCTTTTGAAATGATTGCAAATGGTATTCCTTTAAGTAAATATGAATTATAAACAGGTTTAAAGTACTTAAATTATAATTTTTTTTATACGAAAATGTACTCCAATGGAACTATAGATTTCTAAAAAATTGAAATCGAAAATTGCAAAGACATAAAAATTTAAGATTACAAATGCCCAAAAGAGGAAGAACTTCTAAAATACAATAAAATAGAATTTGATTAGGAAAAAATAATAAAGATAGGATTTTCTTTTACGGTATAAAAATGCTCATCATAAATTTAGACTGGATGTGCAGATGAAAAAGAAATCGACAAATTAATAATGGCTTAACCAAATTATTTCTCAATTTTAATAAGAACCGAATATTATGATTCATAATAACAAAAATTTATAAGCTATTATAAACCAGAGGCATTTTATTTTGATATTTATCAGACTAATTTGACAAGAATAAAATTAATTAAAGGGAATTTTTAAATTAAATCAGGGGTTATTGTATAAAAAACGGAATAAAGTTAGTGCCTTCAAGACTTTAAAAAAACGGAAATGAATTTTTCAAAAAAATATATGCAAGAAAGATGGGGGTTCAAAGGATATTTATATATGTCAGTTTAATTGGACGAGGTTTTTTATGATAACTATATCCAATTTCCGATTATTACAGAGGTTTTGGCTTATTTTTTGGGTATGTTTAATAGCATTATGTCTATAGGAGTATTGGCTAGGATTTTGGCTTAAAAGGAAATTGTAGAAGATGTATGTAGTATTATTTTAAAGGGGTATTATAAAAAATCTGCTCTTTAACTATGCGAGAAGAGAATTTAAGAGGAGAAGGTCGCTTTTGATAAAAAGCAGGTATTAAATTAGGAATAAGCTTATGAATTTTAGAAAATTATTGATGAAGCGAAATTTGCAGATTAATAGAAAAAATTGTTTAGTATAGGATTTTTTTAATAGGTGAATTTTTTTTTTTAATATATTTTTAAGAAAAAGATAAGAAAATTGAGCAATCAAGAAAAAATTTATAAAAGTATTTTAATTGAGGCTAAAAAGCAAATAGATATTTATTAAATATATAGAGATATTATAAATATTAAAATGGTTATTAAGTTAATCTTGAGTAAAGAGTAATATGCGGCTATTAAATTTTGTGGATGTTCCCTAGATTTAAGTGATGAAAAGCAAAACATTAAAACCTAAAATGTTTTGGAAGAAATAGAAATTAAAAAAAAAAGTACTGATGAAAAGACTCAGTAAAATAGCAAAATAATTCCGAAAAAATAAAACAACTTAAATGCAGAAGAGGGTAAAAATCATTTAGAAGAAATTGAAGAAATCGAAAGGAATTAGGATTAATTGAAAAAGTATTTAGATTCTTTTTTAAGAAAAATTTAAGATAATAATTAAATAATATAAAATTTGGACAAGAATATTTTTAATTGTTTAATTGGAAAATTTAAATTGAATATTTAGTAAAGTTAGTAAGATTATAAATTAAAAATCGTAAATAAAAATACTAACAACCCCAGTTTAGAATAAATCAATTAAAAATTAAGAGATATTTAGTAAATAGATTTAAGTTGAAGTAAAATAAATATGTATATAAGTTAATAATTAATGTTTAAAATTTAAAATAAAATAATATAAATTTATATATATTTATGTTTTTAATGTAAGTATAAATCCCTTGTATTTATTATGAAAAAAAATAACAAAATATATTTTTTATTTAATTATTTTTGTTTTGTTTTGTATCATATTTTATTTATATATATATATATTTATTATCCTCAATTAGTATATTTTTTTAATAAACAGTAAAAAAATTAGTGTGCACCCTACATTAATAAAAATTTCAAGAATTTATAAATATATATATATATTTATAAAAAAAAAAAATCATTTAAACATATGAGTCTCTATATAAAATAAAATAAATTAAAAACATCAAATAAAAATAATCCATATATATAAACAAACATATATTTTTATATATGTATGTCAAATAAGAATGATTTTAATCTCTTAATAATATATCATATCTATTATAAAATATAACTTTTTGAGCTTAAAAAACTTAATTAAAATTTCCGATAAAAACCATACTCAAAAATAAACAAAATTTGTTTTTTATAATTATTTATTTAAAACATTTTATAAATTTATTTCATTTCTTTTGTATTTTAATTTTTTTGTTTATCAAAGTTAAAAAATCCTTTAATAATGTGGGGCTCTTACTGTTTCACTTTCTATGCTAATTAATTAATTTAATGTATTAAAAAAGCATAAATGTTTTATTGTTATTTATTTATTTTATTATTAATGAATGTTTGTTTTAAAGAAAATAATATAAAAAGTACATAATGGAAAACCGAATAAAATTTATCTTTTATTCTTCTTTATTCTAAAGCTATTTTATTAATATGTTAAAAAAAAATATATATTTTTCTTCAATAATCGTTAATACATATAAAATATTTATTTTTTCATTTTTAATTCAGTTGAATATTTTTAATTTATTAATTTTTATTTCGATATCCAGAAATATGTTTTTGCTTTATATGCATAAAAGATTTTTTTAAAAAATAGGAAATAATTATTTTAAAAATTATTAAAGCAAAAAATAAAATAATATTAATTTAATTATAGTTTTTTAAATATGATTTTATCATAAAGATTTTCTTAATTTTAATTAAATTTTTAATTGTTAAAATGCTTAATATTTTAATTTATATAAAATTTATATTTATCAATATAGCAGTGTTTTATTAATCTTAAAATAAATAATTTATTTATTATTTATTAAATAATTTATTTATTTTAGTAATTTTTTAAAAAAATTTTAATAAATAAAAGAAAGTATTTTATCAGATACATAAGTATATATGCTTCTTTTAATTTTTTTTGCGTTTTAAATATAAAAGTATTTTTAAATATAGCTTATTTCAGATTATATAATTAATTTAACAAAAAAAAGTAAAAAAATATATATATTCAGATAATAATTAATAATATTAATTAAAATATTTAATTTATTCTTCTAATGAGTTTTTTTTTTTAAAAAATAATAATGCATTTAATCAAAAATCTATGCTAAATTTTAATTACTTTATATTAACATGTCAATATATATCTTAAAATTAAAAAAATATTAATTATAAAAATTAACTAAAAATATTTTAATTTTTCTTTAATAAAACAAAATTTTTTATTTTAAATAAATACAATATATATAGTTCAAAGATAAATATTATTTATAAATAATTAATTATTTTCTAAATTAAATTAATATATATATATTTATAAATAAAATTTAATTAATTATTTTATTTTTATATTAATATAAAATTATTATTATTATTAATTTAATTTATGAATTTTTTTTTCTATAATAATATATATAATTAAATTATTTATATTTTTTTTTGAATTTTATGTAAATACCGCATAAAAAGTAATAATATTCGAATATAAAGTTTAGGGTTTGTGGTTTGGGATTTAGGGTTTGGGGTTGGGGTTGGGGTTGGGGTTGGGGTTGGGGTTGGGGTTGGGGTTGGGGTTGGGGTTG